TCTTTTATTAGTTTTTTTTTTGAGATAAGGATTTATTATACTAGCTGGAACCTGTAGAAATCCCACAGTATTTTTTTTTTCATATTTAGGTAATGTCAAGCTTAGACCTACTACTAGTAACATGTAACCCAGTACAACCTACCACATGGACAAGTGGTTAGCATCTAAACTAGCTCCTCTACTAACTTAAAAAAAAAAAAAAAAAAAATATGGTGAAGAGGGTGGCATATCACCCCACAGAATGAAAAACAAGCCTTGTCAAATGGTAGATGAGCTTCGTATAAGAGTATATATATATATATATATATATATATATATATATATATATATATATATATATATATATATATGTATGTGTGTGTGTGTGTGTGTGTGTGTATATGTATGTATGTATGTATTAGGCTTGAATGGTGTCTGAAGCCATGAATGGCAACCTCCCTAGAGATGGCATCTCAGTATAAACACTGTGTACTTGGACTACTGGGAGTGTCCAAGTTGTGCGTCAGGAAGAGCATCTGACCTTGTAAAACCTCACTTAAAATCATTATGACAAATCCTTTGTCAGGCAGGACCCACCTTGCTTTGTGCAAGATTAACCCTGATCATGCCAAACAAACAAACAATAACAAAAAAAACATGCCTATGTATGTATGTATATTGATTTATCCTGCAGAAGTAAGAAGGTTATAAATATTCAAAATTGACAATACTTTTTTTCATTTCAATGAAGCAGATATTAAATGTATAAGAGCATTATCACTTCTTCTATGTATGCCTTCATTTTCTCACTAAAGCCAAAAAGTGTCTCTGTGATATCTTTTCCTTTTGTTTTTCTCCACAATAACAACAGAATGATCCATTGTTTATCTGCAGTAATGGCAAAGCATGAAATAAGTAGCTACTCAATGCAAGACTTGTTTTTATACTTTTATTTCTATCAAGACATATACAGCTTCAACCTACCCCAGAGTCAGACTAGCTGGAAGTAAACAAAAGAGTTAGGGATTTACTGCTGCTATACCAAGAATTTATGAGTAACAGAGAGACAAGCTATTATAGGGTATAACGCAAGTGATAACTTACTAACTAAAGGAAGAATGAGCAGAATTGTAATGGTAATATTAGCCATTTCCTTACAAGGAAACATTTGGCATTCATTGACTGAGTAGCCAGTACTGTTTTCAGTTGAAATTTATAAAATCTTTCTCTTAAAACAATTTTCAGGAAAATAGGTTTTTCAAGTTCAGTAACTTTTATTGCTTTTTCCACTATTGATGGGGGTTTCCTTCCTAACCTTTTATTTGAAATGGTGTGGAATGTTAACATCTTGATTATGTCATTATTTTCTCTTTGAGTTATATGTGCTATCCATTTTAGTTGTTGCTGCTGCTGCTGCTGTTGGCAGTCCTCAAGTGATATGGTTTCTGTTATTTGGTACAGTTCTTTGTTTGCAATTCTGTAGCACCAGTTCACAATGTTTAAAGAAGCATGGTCTTTGCCAAGACCCCCAAATCTCATTCACTCAAAGTTTTCTATTCAGGCCAGCATGCTCATCTTGGGTGTTATACTCACATTTAAGACCAAAAGGTACAACAACTGAAGCATTAAGTTTAAACAAAACTGACCAGAGCATTCAGATTTGTTTCATGAGGCTATCAACAAATCACAGAATACTTTATTCTTCAAAATTATATTAATACCTGTACCCACATTATTGTACAATTAAGGAAAATATCTGCTGAACATCATAATTTTTAAATCAATGATATGAGAAGGAAATATCAGTTCACAGGATTTATACATTGTTTTTACTAGAATTATTTTGATTAGGAATTATCATTATTATATGTTTTACTATCTGAACCAAACCAATTATCTTGGTTCTTATAGTCATGTTCCAGTTGGGGTAAACTCCAGCTTTCTTCATGTATCCATCTTTGTAGTTGGTAACCTTCTATATATTTTGAATGAAACACTTTATTCAGTTAACAGAGTAGATTATTATTCCATGCTTAGAGAATACTCTGTATCAGACTCAACTTGCCAGCCTTACTACTACTATTACTACAACAAATACAACCACCAGACACAGAGATTGAACAAGTGTTGATTAAAACCTAACAGGTTCCCTGACAATTGAGAGTTCAATCTCTGGGTCTGGTAGTGCCTGAAAGTCTAATACAGTGAAAGAAGAAGTGAACAAGAGATACAAACATGAACTACCAGACTCAGAAATTGAATTCACAATTACCAGCAAATCCAATATGTTTTAACCAACACTGAATTCACTAGTTCAATCTCTGAAACTGGTGACACAAAGATAAAAAAAGACTGGTGAATACCAATACAAAATATTCCCTAAGTATAAAAAATGGAATAAGAACAATCAGCCCTAGTAGATTGAATGAATTCAGGAAACAAAGTCACAGGAAATTTTAACACTGTTCCCAGGTCTTTAGAATTTTTTTTTAAACATATACTAATATCCCTAAGCAAAAAGACAATGCGAATAGTGGAAATCTAGGATCCCCCTGCTAATGTGGATTAACAATACTTGGATTTAGTGAAAAACCAAAGTTGGGACTTTTTTTTGTGATTTTTATTACCAACCATGGATTAAGTAAAGGGTTTAGTTCAGAATACAAAAAAGGTTGAAAATATGAAAACATATGTACAATGTTGCAAACTACCCAAGACGAAGATGTTGGTGGTTGTGAGTTCAATTTTGGGGGCGGGCGGAAAAAGAGAGAGAAAGAAAAAGAGAAAGAAAAAGAGAGAGAGACACAAAGAGAGAGAGAGAGAGACACACAAAGAGAGAGAGAGAGACACACAAAGAGAGAGAGAGACACACAAAGAGAGAGAGAGAGACACAAAGAGAGAGAGAGAGACACAAAGAGAGAGAGAGAGACACAAAGAGAGAGAGAGAGACACACACAAAGAGAGAGAGAGAGAGAGACACAAAGAGAGAGAGAGCCCAGACTTCATTACAAGGAAGAATTTGCATAGATATCTGCTAACATGGATGATGAAATGAAACCAACCTAGATGCCAAAAAACTGAAGACATAATTATAGTAAAAAAGGATAAGAACCCTTGTTCAAATAAATTATATAATAATTTAAAGTAAGTGCTTTAACCAACTTTAACATTAAAATGAGGTCACAATGGCTTAATTTCAGTTAAATCTAATTTAGCCTTTTTTCCTCCTTCCATTAAAAATAAATCTCTTAAATAGATCCAGAAGATAAAGTAAGCCTTTATAAACATGAATATGACATATCTAGAAAACTCTACAATAATTAATGTTTGGATGGCTGTAAGTTGATGCTAGTTCGATAAGACTTTCAGATTATTTTCAACCAAGCTTCACTGAGAGCTAGACTAAACATTGTGTATCTTATAAAATTACAGACATACACAAAAATAGTAAAAGTCATGTCATGAAAAGAAGGTTTCTGGAGGTATCTTATAATATCACATAATGTAAGAGTGCTTAACTAAAAAGTAATTGTTAGCAATTTGGTTACAGATTACAGGGTTCAATACTTGCTGAGTGCCCCACATTTGCCAGCCTAAGCTATAATGCAAATATTGGTTACATAAAATGTGAAAAAAAAAAAAAAAAAAAAAAAAAAGAAATCAATTCCTCATAGCAAATTGTCTTGAGAAGAGTTTGCTAACTGCCATGTTATGGTAGGTGTGTAAATGCTTAGGTTTTTTTATCATCATCAGTCCCATGAATGGGTATGATTGTAGGATTGCTGTGCAACAGAGTCTCTGACAAGCTCCCTCCATATGTCTTAGTTGCATGTCATCTTTATGAATGATTTTCCAGTCCACTTGGTTATGATGTCAGCCTATTTTTACCTCTATCTTCCTCTTTTTCCTACCATGGTATCTTGTATGATGGTAGTGGAAAGCTTGTTGGTTTTTACAAGGTGTCCATACCATTTCAACTTCCTTTTCTTGATGGTGAATATGAGGTCTTCAAATGGACCTGTTTCTTGTCTGATAATGTCTCACACTGTCAATTGTGATGCAGTCTACATAGGAAATGGCAAGGCGAGTTCTATAGCATTTAATTTCTAATGCTTGTATTTTTTGCTTCAGGTTTTTAAAATGGTTTTAAAGGAAGGAAATTCAGTTGATGTAGTTATGTAAAAGGCTACCAAAGTCTTACTCCCCCCCCCATGTCTTTTTGAATATATGATTGATTGATTGATTGATTGATTGATTTTCTACAGCTTACCAAACTTTTGCAGGTTGTTTAAAGCCAGAAAATATTTTTAGATTGTAAAATTTTTTTTTAAAGATATTGATGATTTAGCGATACAAGTTTTACTAATTAACCTATAGGTAGGAGGATAAGTAAGAAGATGAGATTGAATCTCTCATATGCAATATCACTGTTTATTAAGTTCCTGATTATATCAATATCAGCAAGTGGGTGTGTCATTTTGAGGGCTTTCTTTGGACATGTATTTCCTCCTTGAGAAAGGATATGAGAGAAACTCTTAGACTTTACTGATGGTCATAAAACACCAGAGCTTCAGTTTGAGATAAAATATTTTGAGCTTACTCAACTTCAGGGATGTTCTAATCATGACTGGATCTCATTGTGACATAATACTTGTACTTCATACTTATAAAATTTGGTTGTAAGTATAATTTGACTCAGATTATCAGTGATGAAAAAGGTGCAGGAAAATTTTGCCATTATGTACAATATGATGTCACTGCCAAACATGAAGTTTGACCTATACACAATTTGGATAGACTGCCTACAATGTTTGTAGGCAGCCTATCTTAGTAAAGAGAATAACTGAAACATTTGGAATCCAAACTTGACGTTAAAATCAAATGTTCATTATAAAGACATGCTTTCACTTTCACAAAATTTCTGAATTACACTTCAGCAAGACAGAAGCCCGTCTCACTAACTTCTTAAGGAACATCAACAAGGAACTGGAGAATCAAGCATACAAGTTCCAAAGGGCTTATGACCATGTTACACAGAAACACCAGTTGCCATAAGATCACCAAAATTAAGCAATGTTGAGCCTGGTCAGTACCTAGATGGGTGACTGCTTGGGAATACCAGTTTCTGTAAGCTTGGATGGTTGAGTGGTGTAATGGATAATGGCTTGGAGTTGTTAAATAGAGAGCCAAGTTTGAATTCCTGTTGGTTTGTTATATTTACTTATGCACAAATACTCTTGGAAAAGGTTTGTATCCATCTCTTATCCCCCAGGTTAATTAGTAGTAAGACTTCTATCACTAAACCATTATTATCTCAAAAAAAAAAAAAATAAATAAAAATAAAAAATAAATAAATATCTCCTTACAAGCTAAAAAAATTTTCTGGTTTTAAATAACCTGCATAGGGTTGATAAGCTGTAAAAAATTTGGGTTATTATAAGAAAGACTGACTAACATTTGAGTGACTAAAATAAACCCTATGTGATTAAGTAAAGCCAAAGCATATTTTAGATTGTAAGAATAATTCTTCGTGCTTAAATATTGCAGTAACAATTTTTGGAGAATAACAATTTTTCCAGATACAAGTCTTACTATTTAACCTAAAGCTAGAAGGAAGAGGATTCATACCTTTCCTAAGGGTATTTGCATGTAGGTAAATGTAATGAACCCAATTGGATTTTGAACTCAGCACTCCAATTTTCCATTCTGATCTGCTAACCATTACACTACCTGCACATACTGACTTTTTCATGATCACCGTGATGTTAAGTAATGTTCAAAATTGTTTTTGCTGATTATTTTATGTAGAGAAAAAAATTTCTTGTCTTAAATTTTTATTAAATGAAGAATTGTCAATGATTAAGTTTTGAGCACTATTTCTTTCATTCTATTTCAACCGATTTTAGTTACAACACTCAAATAATTCCTTTGCAGTCGTAAGTGGCAGGGAATGGAAATTAAGTTTCCAGTGAGGTTTGAACTAGTGTTCCTTTTACTGGGGAAGCCAGCCTAAAAATGTTATTGTTTACAAAAAAAATGTTTAACTTGATCCTTTGTGGTTTGATGACATTGCCCACTGACATTTACTCAAGAAAAAATAAAAAAATAATCATGGCTTAAAATAAAAAAAAAAAAAAAAACTTCCTACAAGTCCGCAAGAATTTAAGAATCTTGTTTCACTGTTCACACCCTAAATGTGAAAAAACAAATAAAAAAACTTTTTTGGTTAAGTTGTTTAATTATGTAATCTAACAATTTTTATATGATAGTTATTTGTATTTAAAAAAAAAAAAAAAATTACTTTTTCTCATTTTGGTTGAAAAATTGGTATTAATAGCAATAGTATAAAAAAAATGACAACAGTAATAGTCTTATTAGAATTAGACACTAATGGAATCGAAAATGGTGTCCAACTGATTCAGAAATGTCTAAACTATCAACTATGTACAACCATTTTCTTAGATAAATGATTAAAAAGGGCTCCAAGCAAATGCATCCATTAGGTCTTTAAAAAAGAAAAAAAAAAAAAAAAGACAATACTTCATTATATTTCATAGATTGGTACTACAGAATCACACAGAACTTTACCAAATGGTATCACTTGAAGACCTCCAATAGCAGCAACAAATAAAATGGGTAGCTCATGTAACTAGAAGAGAAAATAATAATATAATCAAAATGTTGACTTTCCACACTACCTTAAACAAAAGGTTAGGAAGAAAATACATCAATACTAGAAAGAGTGATAACAGTTCATAGACTTGAGATGTCTAACTTCCTGAAAAACTGTTTTAAGAAATAGAGTTACAAATTAATTCACTATCAAAGTAAGCTGACCAAAAACAATCATTGCTTTTACCATCTGCAAATATTTTTATTTTCAGCAATAAGTCTCAAAACAAAGAAAGATCTTGTTAAACATTCCAAAAAAGTTTAAAAGATATATATTTGACAGAACAAAGAAAAAAAAAAAAAAAAAAAAAAAAAAAAGAAGCATTTTTTCCACTTAACCAAAAATAGAGTACTCACACAAAACATTTTGTAAGATGATAGATTTTTTTATGGGTTTTCAACCCTTTGATTTTTTTTTTAATCATCTTGTGCCAAGCAAGGCAATAATGCCACTAGGACACAAAGGGTACAGGGAGTGAAAGAGAATGAGAAGACTGAAGTGTGGAGAAAGGACAATAAAAGAACAGGATTCAGGAGGACAGAAGATGGTGATTGGCATTGCATTTAAATTTTTAAAATTTGTAGGAGGCAGGGAAACAAGAAATCAGAAGTGAGTTCCACAGGTGAGAAAAGAAACTATTAGAATCGAACAGACAGTTACATCTAGCTTGTTCAATAGTAAAAAGCTCAGGCCTAGCTGCCAATCTAGTAGATTTATAAATGGTAGATTTATAAATGTGCAAGATGGATTCTGATGAGAAAAATCTTTGGCGGTGGGAAAGTAAAGTCTTGATTCTAGGTGAGGATCAATAACATTACATCCTTTGGATTGTGTTGAGAATCTTAAGATATATAACAGGAGCACCAGACCAGATATGGCAGCAATATTCAATGCACAGATGAATGGTAGATTTATAAACATGCAAGATGGATTCACATGAGAAAAATATCTGGTACGATACAGTGAACCAATTTTCCTAGATGTGAGACATTTTGGATTGTAAAAATAATTATTACTTTTTTTTTTCCTCAAGTGAATTTTGCAGTATCAATGTTTTGAGAATAACAATGAATTTTCCAGATACAAGTACTACTATTTAACCCATAGCTTGGAGGAGCATCATAGCACTAAATGGTATAAAGTGAAGAAGAATTTTTGTAAAAGTTGATATCACTTTCTGATTGATTTTTACAGAAACATTTTTCTTGTTTTTTGATCAATAAGAAATTGTAATTGAAACTTAAAGCTGTTAATTAGCCAAGTTATTAATTTATACAGGAAATTTATTTTTATTTTTTTTAGCAAACCTCTACCAACCCAAGTAACTGTTAGATTTTCCATGATTATAATACATTAATCTTGAAATAGCAAGTTTGCACAATGTTTCAAGTGCCCACAAGTAATGGACACTTGAAACATCATGCAAATTCATCACAGCCTGAGAAGAAGTACCAAATTTATGGTAACTATTTAGAATGTAATAATTAGAAGAGAAGTTAACTCCCATTATTAACCTTCAATTTATAGGACACAGGGTGGTTTTTCGAAATATTTTATAGGGAAAAAATGTGTCTTATAAACAGCACAATATAGTAAATGTATTTTTTTCTTTTTATTAGATACATTGCACAACAAAATTTATTTATATCCTAATAATTTAAAACTTAGGCCTTCCCACCCCCTCCATTTATTTTACTGTTTTGCTTAAAATTCATATTTTCTTGCTTTCTGATGATAACTTGGAAATTTTCCAACATATTTCAGTGAAATTTTCATGTTCCAAAATTACAGTTAATAATTATAGCTTAGAGATATGAAAAAAAAAACAAACAAACAAAAAAAAAGAAAAAGACATCAGTTTGAACTGATGTCAACAGGATATCGGTTAATCCTGTAATCAAATATTTTTTCCTATAAAAAGAAGGTGGGAAATAATTATATATTATTATAATAGTCAAAAAGTATCTAGTATCATCTTTGTTTTTGAAATCTTCGAAGTATCTAAATTTACAAAACTATTATTTGTACATACAACCTCTTTAAGAATTGTGATTATTGTACAATATATAAATAATATATTGTATAAATCATAGTTGGATCTAAAATGTATATTGTTTATGCTTCATCAAGGAAAAAGTGCAATATATGGACTTCCCCATAGCTTTGAATATCTGAGCGTCCAGAAGCTCAGTTCATAGAACCTAACAGTCATTTCTTTCTTCACATATATAATTTGATTATAGTGTTGAAAGCTTGAACAAAAACAACCACACATTTTGGAAGAACTGAATACAGAAAACTGGTGCAAATTGTGTGTCACAAGTTCTTGAAACAACTCTAAGAATTTTTAATTCAGTGTTTTCTTTCTCCTAGACCGGTCACCAGTCAAGGCTATGGGACTCAGTCTGTCCTACTATCCACCCATAGCTGTGGGGAAAGTGATGGATTCATACCTTTCCCAAGAGGATAAGTGACTGTAATGAACTCAACTGGAATTCAAACTTTGCTCTTTTCTCATTCTGAGTCATTATCCATTACCCCACTGTGCATCCACATATATAAAATAGATTGTTGTAACTTAGAAAAGGTTACTGAATGAGGAATAACCAAAATGGAGGTTGGAAATGAAATGGTAATTTTTATAGCATCAACAAAATACAATACCCACCAGCGGCGTGAAGTAGGTAAAACACTGCTAGTGGTGGACTACTAAGATAGCATATTACCCACACTTACAATAGTGTCCTTATGAGGATTGGGACATACCCACTAATGTTCATAGGTACAGTATATAACAATAGTAAAAATCATTTGCAATGCAATTTCATAGTAAAAAAAATCATTTGCAATGCAATTTCATAGTAAAAAAAATCATTTGCAATAATGCATTTTTATAGTAAAAATCATTTGCAATGTATTTTTATTGTTGTTGTAACCTAGAAAGGGTTACTGAATGAGGAATAACCAAAATGGAGGTTGGAAACAAAATGGTAATCTTTATAACATCAAAATACAATACTCACCAGCGGTGTGAAGTCGGTAAACCACTGCTAATGATGGACTACTTAGACAGCATATTACCCCTACTTACAATATTATCCAATGTACTTATGAGGATTGAGACATACCCATTAGTGTTCATAGGTACAGTATATAACATAGATAATTGAAGTTTATTATTATCATGCAGTAGTTGCAGGCATATATAAAGAATAATTTACAAAGTTTAAAATAAGGAGATCTTTATATTAAGGGTCCCAAAAAAATTTGAGAACAATTCAAAATTGATCAAATGGAATTTTTTTTGAAAAGAAAATGCAACCTGATGGTAATGGTAATATTAACAGTTTCCTTATAAGGAAATATTCAGTATTCTTTGTCTGAGTGGCCTGTGCTATTTTAGGTTGAAATTTTAAAGAAAATTCCTATTAAAACAATTTTTCAGTAAAATATGTTT